GAGTCAAGGGCCTGCCTGATGGCCTTACAAGGAGGAGGGAGTTGGCGGAGAAGGTTGCTGCAAAGGTGGGAGACCCTCTGTTTACAGTAGTAGTGAATGAGGGCAGGATCAATCCGGCGAGTACGTTACGAGCTAGGATTTTTGTTGATGTTAATGAGCCACTGGTCAAGTTTGTTCCAATCACTTTGAAGGAGCATAAAAAGTTCAGCGTGTTCTATGAAAAGCTCCCAGACATCTGCTTTGCATGTGGCCGGATGGGTCATCTGGCTGATGAGTGTGGATACGACATACATGACCCAGACTCCTTTGAATGAGGTGATTGGCTGCTGTGGGAGCCGGAGATGCCAGCGGCTCAACCGTATGGTGGGGGGGTAGAGGAGATAATTTTGGCAGAGGTCGGGGTGGCGATGGTGGTAGAGGAGCTAGAGGTCGAGGAGGTAGAGTCCCGTCAGGGGGTCGAGGAAGGGGAGAAGCGGGAGGGGTATACACGCACGGGGCGCAATAGATGGATGTGGATGATAGGAGGGAGAATTCTGGTGATGGAGTAGAGAAGGGAGCCCGGAAAAGGTTGGTGGATGCGAATGGCTCAATAAACATTAGAGGACAACAACTTTCTCATCTGGCAGGCAAGGTTGCAAGGACCGTTTTGCTAATAGAAGGGGCATCTTCTTCTTCTCCTAGCGACGCAGTGGCCACTACGCCGGAGAAGGTACACATTGTAAAGAAGAGGAGACAAGAGGGAGAAGAGGGTGAAGAGATGGAGCATTTGAACAAGGCGTCCTCCCTCGAGGAGGGCCGCCAAGCCTGATGAGGATTTTGTGCTAGAACTGCCGTGGGATTGGCGACCCTGCGACAGTTAACGAGCTCCGTGCTCTTGTGGTGGAAAGTGCGGAATTGGTCCTTTGTGTTGTGGAGACGCAAATTTCAAAGAGTCGAGTGGAAGGTTTGGCGGTGTCTTTAGGTTTTCATAATAGTTTTGCAGTAGCTAGTAGTGGGAGGAGTGGAGGTCTTTGTATCTTTTGGAAGTCGGATGCTAATCTTGTAATAATTTTTTTCGCAGTATCACATTGACTCCTGGGTTTCGAGTCCAGGTTCGGATCAATGGCGACTCACTTGTTTCTATGGGGAGGCAAACAGAAGCTTGCGATACAAAACATGGGAGACTATGAAGAGGCTGAGGGGGAGAGTACCCTGCTGTGGCTATGTATTGGCGATTTCAATGAGATACTTCGTCAGGAGGAACAGATGGAGCCCAATACCCGTGACAGTGCACAAATGGCGGGGTTCAGAGATGCGGTGGATGTATGTGGCTTGTCGGATATAGGATATATGGGCCTGGATTGGACTTTTGAGAAGCGAGTGACATGTGGTCAATTCTGCAGGGTCCGGCTAGACCGGGCTTTGGCTTCACCGAGTTGGTCAATATTATTTCCTTTTGCAACTCTGGAACACTTGACAACAGCCAAGAGTGACCACAGTCCGATTCTGCTCAAGACTGACATAGAGACAGGCTGCCAACTAACGATTGGGAAGAAACCATTCCAATATGAATGTGCTTGGGAGACTGATGATCGGTTCTGAGAGACGATGGACGAAGCGTGGAATGGAAAGGGACCGGTGATGACACTGTCTGACTTGGCCAACAAATTGCAAGATGTTTCAGCCTCTATGTCATGGTGGGGTAGGAGAACCTTTGGTTCTGTACGTCAGGAGATGAGGGCTTTGCGTCAGCAGCTCGCTAAACTCCGAGCGGAGCCGATGCAGACGGGTCCAGGGCAGGAAGATAAGAAGGTGATGGATCGCTTGATTGAGTTAGCATATAGGGAGGAAATCATGGCAAAACAACGTTCTCGCATTACTTGGTTGGCTGAAGGTGATAGTAATACAAAAAAATTCAGCGGAAAGCGAGTGCTCGTCGGGCAAAAAACAGGATCGTGAAACTTGAACGTGATGATGGCACGGTGTGTACTGACCCGAGCGAGCTGGCCGGTCTTGCCACGGAGTTCTATAAAAATCTTTATGCCTCAGAAGGCACTATTGGCATGGAGGAGGTCTTGTCACATATACCTACGTGGGTGGATGGTAATATGAATGCTCGCCTTAATGCAGACTATAGTAGAGATGAGGTTAAAGAGGCCCTTTTTCAAATGTTCCCAACCAAGGCACCTGGCCCAAACGGATTTCCCGCCCACTTCTTTTAGAAGCATTGGGATTTGTGTGGTGATGAGGTTACAAGGATGATCATCCGAGTGTTGGATGGAGCTGATTCCCCGGAGGAGATAAACAACACGTTCATCGTATTAATTCCCAAGATATCTAGTCCAAAAGTTTTAGGACAATTTCGGCCTATAAGCCTATGTAACGTAATCTACAAGATTGCGTCTAAGGTCTTAGCTAACCGGCTGAAGTTAATTCTCCTCGACATCATCTCCGAAGAGCAGTCTGCTTTTGTCACTGGACATCTCATTACAGACAATTTTATCACGGCCTATGAGTGTTTGCACTATATGAAAACTAGGAGGGTGAAGGGTAATAGGTTCTGTGCGCTTAAGCTTGATATGATGAAGGCATATGATCGCCTGGAGTGGCCATATCTGAAAGCGGTTATGATCAAATTGGGTTTCAGCCAAAGATTCACAGAGACCATTCTGAGGTGTGTTACTTCGGTGTCTTTCTCTGTTTTGTTTAATGGGGGTAGTTCAGATGGTTTCAGGCCTTCGCGTGGGCTGCGGCAGGGAGACCCGATCTCGCCATATTTATTCCTGCTTGCAGCGGAGGGACTTTCTTGCCTGTTGAAGTCCCAAAATGGTGTTCAGGGAATTGTAGTGGCACTGGAAGCCCCGCTAGTTAATCACCTCCTTTTTGCTGACGACAGACTACTCTTTTTGAGGCTAATGAGGCGTCTGCTACATGCGTTAATGGGCTCCTTAGAGCTTACTGTGATGCATCCGGTCAGAGAATAAATGTGGACAAATCTTCGATTTTTTCAGCAAGGGGGTGGCTGACTCATCAAAGGATGCAATCAAGAATATCCTCGAGGTACACAATGAGTCACTGACAGAGAAATATTTGGGTTTGCCTTCGGATGTGGGTAGAGCAAAAGAAGGATCTTTCAAATACTTAAAAGAAAGAATTTGGAAACGGGTTTAAGGTTGGATGGAGAAGTGTCTGTCGGCAGGTGGGAAGGAGGTCCTAATCAAATCTGTAGCCCAAGCCATCCCAACATATTCGATGGCATGTTTTAAACTACCTCGGGCTTTATGTGAGCACATCAATAGTTTGATCCGCAAATTTTGGTGGGGGAGTAAAAATGGCGAGAGGAGAACAACATGGGTGTCGTGGAGAACGATGTCAAAACCAAAGTTCATGGGTGGCCTGGGTTTCCGAGATATCGAGCTTTTCAACTTGGCTCTTCTTGCCCGTCAAGCATGGAGGTTAATGCAACAACCGGACTCCCTGAGCGCTCGTGTTCTGAAAGCTCGGTACTTTCCAAACACTGATTTGCTCAATGCCATGTTGGGTAATGCCCCTTCCCAGGTCTGGCGGTCTCTTCTGGAGGGTCGGGACATCCTGCCCTTGGGGCTTATCAAGAGAATTGGCACCGGTGCAAGCACACACGTTTGGCATGATAACTGGCTGCCGAGAGACTATAAGTTGAGGCCCTTTTGTGCCCGCTCAATGAACCCGCCGATGTGGATTCCGGACCTTATCAATCCTGTCACTCGATCATGGAATAGGCAAGCCCTAACAGGTCATTTTATTCCTGCTGATGTCGAGGTTATTCTCAATATACCACTCAGCACAAGGCAACAGGAAGATTTCTGGGCATGGCATTATGATAAGCGAGGTATCTTCTCGGTACGGTCAGTTTACAGGATGATTTGTGCTATCAAAATACAAAGAGAAGATTGGCTAGAACATCGGCCAGGCCATTCTAACATTACTGCTGACAAAAACTCTTGGTTAGACATGAAAGGCATATGGCAGTTTCTCCATCTTGCTCTATCTGTGGAGCGGAGGAGGACACGTGGCGCCATTCGCTACTAAGTTGCCGCATGGCAAGATGGGTTTGGGCTTTGTAGGACTACGAGCTGGTCGAGCATGTGATCTCAAACCAAAACGAAGATGCGAGGCTTTGGCTGTTCTGGCTTTTTGAGACAACAAATCAACAAGACCTAACACGAATTTTAGTGACCATGTGGGAAACATGGTGGGCCATGAGAAAGGCTATGCATGAGAATGAATTTCACAGCCTGCTTTCCACTATGAGCTTTGTAAAGAGATTTTTGAGGAGCTGGACATAGCTAACTCGCACAGACCTAGGGCAAATGAAGCACGAGTGATCCGCCGGAAGGTAAAAGTGTGGTTACCGCCTCCGGGCGAGGCTGCAAAATTCAACTGTGATGGGGCCTGTCAACGTTAGGTGACAAAGGTGCAGCGGCAGTTGTTTGCCGTGACAAGTTGGGCAAATTTTTTGGGTATTTCAGCGTTGATTTTTCATGACCTCACCGACCCGACAAGTCTGGAGGCACAAGCATGCAGCGAAGCACTAGCCCTAGCCCAGGATCTGAATCTACAGGATCTTGCCATTGCCTCAGATTGTGCAGAAGTGATTTCAAACATCAAATCTACAGGTTCACCGTCTTATGCTCATATCCTTAGAGAGATTCATACTAGTAGTAATAATTTTTGTTCTGATGATTTTCGTTTTGAGAGTAAAAACAATAATTTTGAGACCCACTCACTAGCTAAGGGAGCTGCGTCTCTCGCGGTGAGCCGCCATGTGTGGCTAGGAATTTTGCCAGAGATTGATGGTATTCCGGATGTCGTGAACTTTCAACAAAATCCCTAGTTACCTTTAAAAAAAAAGGTACTAAACTATAAAAGCCGCCCAAGCCGCCCCTAGCGCAAACCCTTGCACCCCCAGCGCCTCCACCACAGCCACACACCACAGCTAGGGGAGGGAGGAGAGAAGAGGAAGCCGAGAGGCGGCGGCGGAGATGGTTTCCCTGAAGCTGCAGAAGCGGCTCGCCTCGAGCGTGCTCAAGTGCGGCAAGGGCAAGGTCTGGCTCGACCCCAATGAGGTCAACGAGATCTCCATGGCCAACTCTCGTGAGAACCCCATTCCTTTCCCCTACCTCGTCTTATGTGGGTATATCGTGTCCCAGGTTGCCATGTGGTGCGTGGTACCTTCAGATCTGATGTTTTGGTGCTGATCTATGCGATGTGGCTGTTCGAAAATTATTCCCATGTCAATTCTACGGACAAGTTCTCTTGTTATGGTAGCATGACGAGTTTGGTGGCTTTTGATCCGTGGCTTAGTTGTGGTGATGATGGGTAGCATCGGCTTGGAGCCGTTTGGATTGTCTTCGATTAATTAGGCATCGAACCATGAATGCTTTTGCACTGTGCAACATTAGACCTATATATGAACACCTTTATTAGTTTTCAATATTTTTTTAGAATGGTGAAATCCGTAGTATATGTAGCCTATACATGGTCTTGCCTGTCGTAGTGGAGATCCATACGCTATCGTGTTTGGTTTGCATCGTATTGGGGATTCTTGGTCGCCAGTACTCATGAATAAATGATAATTGTGAATTTAACGTCAAATTTGTTAGAAACAATGTTCATCTGCTCCAAACAGGTAGTACTTTACTAAAAGCATGGTTCACCTTTTCTGTATAGGTTGAACTTTACTCAGACACACCCCTTGTGTAATTCTAACTAAGATGCTTGTTTGGTTGTTATCCTGAAGTGGGTATTATATGAATTTCAGTGTTTATATAATTTGATTCGCCAAACTAATTAAGTACTTTTGATTCTATGGTTGTAAATATGTTCCTTATCCTGAAAAGTGTTGCTAAGCTGTTTTCTGGACGTGAGCAAGACGCATGACAGTTTTGTGATGTTGTATGCAGGCCAGAACATTCGTAAGTTGGTTAAGGATGGGTTCATCATCAGGAATCCCCAAAAGATCCACTCAAGGTCCCGTGCACGCAGAGCCCATGAGGCAAAACAGAAGGGCCGTCATTCTGGATATGGTATATCAGTATAATAAACATCTTTTGTACTGTAGTACTCCCTCCATCCCAAAACAAGTGTCAACTTTACAAAGGTGAGAGACACTTATTTTGGGATTGAAGGAGGATATCATTGCTTATGATCAGTATAATTTACATCATTTGTACTGTAGTATATCATTGCTTATAATCTGCATATTTGTCTTTGTTAGTTTTTAGGTAAGCGCAGGGGTACCAGGGAGGCTAGGCTTCCCACCAAGATTCTGTGGATGAGGAGGATGCGCGTGCTCAGGCGGCTGCTCTGCAAGTACCGTGAAGCAAAGAAGATCGACAAGCACATGTACTTGAAGGTCAAGGGTAACATGTTCAAGAACAAGCTTGTGCTTATGGAAAGCATTCGCAAGTCAAAGGGTGAGAAGGCAAGAGAGAAGACGCTCTCTGACCAGTTTGAGGCTAAGCGAGTAAGCGTGCCAAGAGCAAGGCAAGCCGTGAAAGGAAGATTGCCAGGAGGGAGGAGAGGCTTGCTCAGGTCTGATGTCCAATGGTTCAAATTTTTTGTTTCTTTTTGTCAGTTGCTTGTCCATGGTCTTTCCGTGGCCTGTTGATGAAATTCTTCAGATTGTTTAACATTATGTTATATGTTTAAACAGGGCCCAAGGGACCACTCCGCACCTGCTGCAGCAGCAGCAGCTCCTGCCCAACCTGCAGCGTAAGCATATCTTCTGTTTTGACCTGTTTTTACCAGGGGAAATTTCCTGTTTAGCTCCCCTGATCTTCTGTTTATCCCTGACGTTGCAGGGCACCAAAGAAGGCAAAGAAGTGAAGATCTGACGATTAAGCGTTCTGTTTACTGGGTGAAATCAGTTTGTTCTTAGCTAAGTATGAACTATTTTGTTCAGTCTTTAAGTATCTTTATCCCAGATACCCTGGATACAATGTTTCATGCTACTGGATGTAGTATTAGATGCTTATGCAAAGTTCCTTATGAAATGTTGCTGCTTAATGCTGATCTCTCTTGCCTTGCCTTTATATCCAAGTGGTTTTGGTATGTTAGCTTGGTTTATCTTTTGCCACGAGAACAGAATTTGAGCAGACTGCGATGATCCTCCTCGCCCATATGGATGTGTCCGGTTGCTATCTACTTGATCTACAAACGCTCTTCAAATACTTTATAGAAGGTAGTTCCAAAAAACGTCCTAGACAGAGGGAGTAGATTGCTTGTTATGATTCATTACTCCCATCTTTGCAAAATATATGTTTTAGATCATCAATGTCTAAATAGATGATATATGGTTCTGTTTTATACTGTAAATGCTGATTAGCTTGTATATGTGGTTGATCTTTAAAGTTCGACGAATAGTACTTACCTTTATGGCTGATTTAGAATGCTTGTAGCTTTACGTCGCACTTAATTCAGAAACAGTCCTAATCCTCTGAGGTACCTTATAATAAAGTGACTACATATTTGATTCCTTAAACCAACATTGTAACATCGTTTGGTACTCCATGGTCTACCGGCCATTGCCTGAATCATCTAAACCCTAGCCACCCATTCCCTTTGCTGCTAGTTGAAAGGCTCTGCTGCCGCCCCATTGTTGATCATTGGAGCTTGCCATAAGGCTCACGGCTTCACCATTCCTGAGTGCTACTTCCTTGTCCGTTACCACGGTCCACCATTGCCATGGTGCAACGCTGCGTGATTTGGTGTGCTGAGGCGCGAATTGTGGATCATGCCTTGGTGGAAGCGCGTCGTGGAATTGTTAGAGTAGCTCGAAGCTGCCGAGAACGACGATGAGCCGACGCCATGCATTCGCCTGCTGCCAATGTCCACAAGTCCATCCGCTCTCCGACGGGGTGATCGAGCTCTCCTTGGAGTAGTAATCGAGCTCTCCATTCCAGTTTACAGGTTTTGCATGTGTACCTAGGTCGTTAATTTGACCAACTTAATAAGAGGCATACATTATAAAAAATGTATCATTAGAATATAATTTTTATGTTAAACAATTTATTTTATATAAGTTAAATTGACAACCTAGATACACGTGCAAAATTTATAAACTGAGATGGAGTAGCTCGATGTAGCAGTCGTACTGTTGTTGTAAGCTATGTTTAATTATGCTCATTTTAGTGTTTAATTATGGCATATTTAATGTGCTTCTGGGAAGTGCCGGGATTAAAAGTAAGGGAAGGGCTAAAGATGCGGAAATGTTTTTATGTTGCACTTTCTTCGGTCTTTTTTAGTTTGCATATAAGATTTGTTTAAAATCAAGTCTCGTAAAGTTTGACCAACTTCATAGGAAAAAATATCAACATTCACAATGTGAAATCAATACCAATTTATACATCAGGACTTAAAGTTTCATATTGTATAACTTTAGCATGATAGATGTTAATATTTCTTTATATAAATATAGTCAAACTTTGAGAAGTTTGACTTCAGACAATTCTTATATAAAGAGTAAAAATGACTGGAGGGAGTATCTGGGTCTTGACCGTAGCATATGTTGTTATATTGTCTCTCTTAGGCCAAGTTCTTTTCCCTGCAATATTTGTACCTTGTGATTAGTAACCCCTTGTGAAAGTAGATATTATTTAAGATCATACAATTCAATCAAAGTATGTGTTAGCATTACTATGTCTGGAATTTTTTTTGAGAGGAGGTCAGGAGTATTAGTAAGGGCACTGCTACACGGACACACTTATCAAAAAAGGTTTTCGCCCCGCTTTATAAGTAAAGCAACCGTCGAGCACAAAGTAACAAGGGTCCAACCATACAAACACACGCACACAAAGCCACTGTGGGCAGGTCTGATGAACAAACACACACAGAGAACCCAGGTTCAGCTGTGGGCACAGCTCAACAAGCCTAACACCGGCACAAGACACACACAACAAAACACAACATCAGTGGTGAGGTGTAGGAGATGATGGAGGTGATGGCGTCTCTCTCTCGGGGATAGCTAAGCGGTCGCCAAAGCTGTAAGAAACCCGACTGTCGGTGTCAAAACCGGTGGATCTCAGGTAGGGGGTCCCGAACTGTGCGTCTAGGCCGGATGGTAACAGGAGGCAGGGGACACAATGTTTTACCCACGTTCGGGCCTTCTTGATGGAGGTAAAACCCTACCTCCTGCTTGATTAATATTGATGATATGGGTAGTACAAGAGTAGATCTACCACGAGATCAGAGAGGCTAAACCCTAGAAGTTAGCCTATGGTATGATTGTATGTTGTAGTTGTTATGTCCTACGGACTAAAACTCTCCGGTTTATATAGACACCGGAAAGGGTTAGGGTTACACAAGGTCGGTTACAAAGGAGGAGATATCCATAGCCGTATTGCCTAGCTTGCCTTCCACGCCAAGTAGAGTCTCATCCGGACACGAGATGAAGTCTTCAATCTTGTATCTTCATAGTCTAATAGTCCGGCCAATGGAGATAGTCCGGCTGTCCGGAGACCCCCTAACCCAGGACTCCCACAGTAGCCCCTGAACCAGGCTTCAATGACGATGAGTCCGGCACGCAGTATTGTTTTCGTCATTGCAAGGTGGGTTCCTCCTCCGAATACACCACAGAAGGATTTGAATACAAGGATAGTGTCCGACCCTGCAAAATAAGTTTCACATACCACCGTAGAGAGAATACTATTTTCGCAAATCTAATTTGCTGACTTGTTTTGGCAGCATGACGTTATGTCATGGCCCGGTGATTATTCGAACCGTTTCCTTTAACTAGCCCCGCACACAACGCGAGGCAGTTTTTTAACACGTCTTGTTTAAGCAGAGATCGTGTCCCCTTATTACGGGATTCTCATCAATACGAGCGTGGGTAACCCAACCGCGCCGTCGATTACGGCGCTTGGGGGATAAGCGAATTTTACCAGGCTAGTGAGGGGCTCATAGTTTCGTCTGCCCATACAAAGGGATAAGGATTCACCTTTTCATCCACGCCTTCTTCCTCCTTTGCTCATCCGTTTTCGCACACTCGAGCTCTAGCGCCCAAGTCCGCACTTTCCACCTCCACCTTCTCCAACCATGTCCGGAGCGGGAGGCAGGTGGATGGTCTCCTCCGTCACGGAGGGAGACATCAAGAAGCTGAGAAGAGCCGGATACCTGCCCGACGACATCGCGCACCGGCTCCCAGATGAGGGGCAGCTCATCCCCACCCCCGGGCCCCATGAGAGGGTAGTGTTCCTTACCCATTTCCTCCGCGGACTGGGATTCCCTCTCCACCCCTTCATCCGGGGGCTCATGTTCTACTACGGTCTGGATTTCCACGATCTGGCCCTAAATTTCATCCTCAACATCTCGGCGTTTATCGTCGTGTGCGAGGCCTTCCTCCGCATCAAGCCCCACTTCGGCTTATGACTGAAGACCTTCAATGTCAAGCCGAAGGTTGTGGGCGGCCGCCAGGCGGAGTGCGAAGGCGCCATGGTGGGCAAGATGCCCAACGTTACATGGCTCGAGGGCTCCTTTGTGGAAACCATAAAGGGGTGGCAATCGGGGTGGTTCTACATCACCGAGCCGCGTGACCCCGCATGGGCAGCGGCCCCCGAGTTCCGATCTGGCATCCCCATGCGGCTCACCTCCTTGAAAGAGAAGGGCCTGTCCTGGGGTAGTTCGGGAGAGCTGACCGGACTCCAAACATGTATTCAAAACATGGTGAACAAGAAGCTCAAACTTGTCAACGTAGTCCAGGTCATGCTCCACCGCCGGATCCCCCCATGCCAACAACGGGACTTCAACTTGTGGGAGTTCGACCCGGCGCAGCACCGAACTCTGAACAGGCTCTTCGACACAACTCACGAAGATGCATGGAGGATGCTGTTCAAAAGCACCGAGGTCCCTCCTCCCATTACTGAGGATCACGGATTCAGCGCGAAGCGCCAAGCCAGTGTGGTAAGCTGCTTTACCTTTCACAGGATACTTATCTTTTATAGATTGACTCCATGCGGGATCTAAACTCCCGTACCTTTGATAGGACTGGCAGGAGACGGCCGGACAGATCGACTGTCCGACTCCTTTGCCTGAAGGCCCAGCGGACGCTCTTCTGGCGAAGATGCTGACTCTGGCTCCTTATATGGTGCCGGAGAAGACCAAGAAGGCCAAGGGAACCTAAAAGAGTTCCCGATGCCAGGCGTTGTCGGACTCACCGTTCGATGACTCTACGGCGCACTCCTCCCCCGAAGACGAGGAAGAAGAAGAAGATGCTCCCCCTCCAGCTGGGGGAGATAAGAAAAGGAAGGCCGCCCCAACTAGGGGGGCGAAGGGTCCAAGAAGGGAAGGACTCTCCTTCCGGACAGTTCCACCGCCGCCGACGAAGGCGAAGACGAGTGGTTGCCCAGGGCCAAGCCCCTGGGGAGATCGTAAGTATTCGGATACCAGAGTAACTCATAGCATTCCTTTGTCGCACTGCTTTCCCTAACGCCGAACATAATTATGCAGGCCGCCACGAGCTAGTATCGATGTATCATCGGACGGCTCCCTGGGCTCGTCGGACATGGATAGCGATCCAGTCCCGACCGCCACCTCCCCTCATCCCGCTGACGACGCCGATGTGCTGTCTCAAGAGGCACCGGGTCGAGGGGAGATAGTCCCGGAGGCGCCTCAAGGCGACCTTCCGGACTCCGGGAGCCGAGGGGGCGGGGCCCCTGAGAGCTTCGAGTTCGGCCCTCAGCCGAACACCGCGCCGGAACCTCCAGTGGTTCCGGGTTTGGGCAGCCGGCCTCCTTCTAAGAGGGGCAAGACGCCTGTGCCGCTGACCTCTGTCCATCCAGAGGTGCTGGACAATCTGTTGGAAGCACTTGATGAGGAGCACCGCACTATCATGAGTGCGGTGATCCAGAAGGTTCAGTCCGCCAAGAGCGGATTGACTGAAGC